CTACTCGAGAATTCTTTATTGTAACACCAACATATAGCCAACTTTAAAATTAAGCTTTAAAACTAAGGTCTATGAACAAATAATACAATAATAAATCACAATATTACTTCTGAAAGTTTTGGCCTGACTTCTTTTTGAACAGCGACCGATGAGACGATGACTGGTGTACCGATGTCTCCGCGAAAATATAGGGAAGTTGGTTTTGAGCAAACAACCGTGAATTGATCGTTCAATCTTCAACTACATTGACACTCCCCGACAAAAGAGGAATCCATCCCTTTTTTCCATCACGACCAATACACGTTGACTTGGATGCCATTGCGAGAACCTGGGTCACACGGACAGAGCTGAAATGGAGAACAAACAGAAAAGCCAACACACCACAAGCAACCTGGAGGACAACTGTACAATTCAATAACTATACGGCCCGGTTCAGACAATGAGTGTAATTATATATATATATCAAATATTTAACTGTTGAAACATTATTAACTTGTAGATAATTTAAGGTTTGACATTATACCATTTTTGATCGTGCCTGTAAAAATGGCATGCATTTTCATGTAAATTTATGTTTTAATGAAAATATACATTAGTATTATTATTATTTTAAGGAATATTAGCCATATATAAAGCATGTATCGCTCCAAAGTTGAATATTGTGCTCCCCTATTTACTAACCTAAGTCCCTCATACCGAAAAATGTGGAAAGTGTTCGCAGATTCCTGACGAAATGCATAATAGGATTTGACCAACAGCTGGAATATGTTGACAGGTGTATACGTATGAACTTAGAACCTCTGTGGTTAAGGAGAGCGAAGTGCAACTCATTTCTACTCTTCAAAGTTATTGGGAAAATTTGTCTTAGTAACTCATCCATTACGTGGGGAAATATGAAATCATATCAGCTGCGAAACCACGACTACCTTGTCAAGGTGGCTACCAACAGAAAAACCATTAATGCAAACATTTTCACCACTAAATATTGCACTCTTTGGAACCAACTACCATTTCAAATTAGATGTTGTGCAAACCCTGATGGGCTCAAACTGAGCCTAGAAAGACACATTAAAATGTCTGCCCTATCTCGTCTAAAAGACCACAACTGTTGGTAGAACGGAAATTGAAAGCCGATTCGGTCTTCAGTATAGTCACCAGGGATATTTTCACCTACTTAAATATATCTCCGGTGAGTTCAAGACTGGAAAACTGCATCCAAGCCGCCAGTCCTTATCTAAAAGGGTACTCACACATTCTAGAAAGGGCAACATGCATGTTTCACGACACGGCTAACTTATCATATGACGAAAGACTAGACAGTTTAAATCTCTTCTCCTTGTCATACCGTAGGCAGAGAGACTTAATCACAATGTTTACAATTTTAAATAATGACTATAGATCTGTCCTGTTCTCTGTTTTCCATCCCACCAGGTCTGAACACCTTAGAGGACATAGCAGGAGAGTTCAAAAGCCAAGAATAAATCATATAGTTGTTAAGTACTGGTTCTCACACCGAGTTTCAAAGGCTGACGGTATAAACGTTCGCGAACAGTACTGAGTATATTAACGCAGGATCTTATACCAACAACTTCTAACTTATTTAATTCTCGTGTACCAAAGGCAAAGCAAAAGACCACATTCGATTGTCCAAATTACGAGATATATTTCGGAACCAAACCACGGATTGAAGCGGAAGCTAAGCTAGGTAGTTGTCGTGCACGATAGTGACACGACGGAGTACCAAATGGCAGGGATGCTTGACGGGAAGCCTTCAGCTAAACAAGTCGACTTAAACTCAAGGGTCAGCAACCAATGTTCGCTTATTATTATTATTATTATTATTATATAAGCTTTATTCCAAATCAGTACTTGTGATACAGAATGGAATTCTCAGCATTTTACTACAATATTGCATCCAGTTTTTACATTAACAATAAATAAAGTTCTACATAGATTAAAGATTATCTCAACAACATATTAGTATGTCGGTAGCAAAGCCAAAATTAAAATGTTTGAAGGTGTTACAAAAGTAGATACTACTAGCATATTTACTGGCGTAAGCGATAGCAAAATGGTCGAGATATACAGAGTGTAAAAGAACAACAAGAATGTTTTAACTAGAGTTTGCAAGGAAGAGAAAAACAAAAACAGCACTTAACAAAAATAAAGACAAAAAAGGTAGAGAGAATGGAAAAGAGAGAAAACGTTGTACCCATAAATGATGTGAGTTGGAAAGACGAGATTCATTGGTTCTAGTGACTATTTAATAAGTTAAAGGTTTCATGCCTGATGCATTCTTTATCACACAGAACACGGGCTAGGTAGGGTATGGATGAGTTTTTGTACTTACTAGTGCGGGCATATAGTTTCCTATATAGACTTCTTGTTTTCCCTGAAGAGATACATGGGGAGAGTTGTGAGTGTAGAGGGTGTTGTGAGTCAGATAAAATGGACTTCGCCCATTTTTCACATGAGTCCATGTGCCTGTCCACCAGAATGTTAACAAGCTGGCTAAGTGGTAAACTGCTTACCCTGCTGACAACCTTTAACATCCTACGTAATAAGGTATAGTCTTTCTTCAATAGCCCAGGAAAGACTAAGGGGGAGCAATAGAGAATTATAGGCAGAATACGGGAGTTAACAAATTGTAGTAGTAAGGGTTGGGTTACACCAGAATGTCTTAACTTCTTGATGTAGAAGGTAAGACGGTATATTTTCTTGGAAATCGTCAAGATATGAGACGACCAGGAAAGATCAGAAGATAGAGTGACGCCTAGGTATTTAATTTCCGACTTAGTTTCTATTTCAGTGCCATCTATGTTGCACACCTCGTGAGCGCTAACCAGTTTGTTTAGGTCAGATTTATGCCTAAAGGTGAAATTAACTGTTTGGCATTTGGAGGGGTTTAAGGTTAGACCGTTTTCCTTGGACCATTGGCTAATTTCTGATAAGAAGCCATTTAGTTTAGAGCAGTCATTTTGACATTTGACAGGTAAAGATACAGTTAGGTCATCAGCATATTTGACAAAGTTAATATCATTTGAAGACGGTAGGTCATGTAGGAAGAATGAAAAGAGAAGTGGGGAGAGTACAGCACCTTGGGGGACACCAGATTCAGTGAGCACAGCAGAGGAGGATTGACCTTTGTATACGGTGTACTGCATTCTGTTTGAAAAGTAGGAATGCAACCACTTAGTGACCCAAGACTCGGTTTGTGTCGTGGATAGCTTATTTAGCAAGAGACTTCTAGGTACAGAGTCGAAAGCAGAAGTAAAGTCAAGAAACGTGCAGCGGACATATTTGGCACCTTTGTCTAATGATGAGACAATACTGTTGTGTAAGACGGCTGCAGCGTCTAAAGTACTCCTACCCTGTCTGTAGGCAAATTGTTTGGGGTCTTCGAAGCTTTTAAGGGAGGGTTCGAGTTTAAGAAGTATTAGTTTTTCCATGAGCTTTAGAAACGGGGAAGTGATGGCGATGGGTCTGAACTTTACGTTCTTGCTATTTCCAGGTTTAGGGACAGGGACTATTTTAATGTCTTTCCATGGAACAGGTACAACGTTTTCGGAGAAAGAAGCATTTAGGATATTAGTTAGAGGAGAACATAAAGCATCTGCACATTGTTTTAGGACATATGCAGGTATGCCATCAGGGCCAAGACTATGTGAGGGCTTAAGAGTTTTAAGACATTTCAAAACATCGAGAGTATTGAAGTCCTGGAAGTTATCAGCTACAAGATTGGTAACATTAGAAGTGGTTATGGTAGAAGGAGAGCGTATAAAAGACAGATTAAGAGCATTAACATCACAAGAGGGAAAAACATTACATCGCTTACTATTGCCAGTAATTTCATTGAAAAGTTTCCACATGCTGTTTGGAGATTTGCATGATAAAAGTGTTTGGTTATAGATAGCATTAAGATTTTTGATTTCAGATTTGATTTGAGCATTTATCTTTTTAAGTCCTAACTTGTCTTTGCATTTATATAACATTTCTTTTTGCCTGCGAAGTTGTTTGAGATGGGGAGACGAGAAGCGGTCGAGGCGTTTGAACAGTGTTTGTTTGGGACAGCATATGTCAAGGCAGAACTTGAGATAATCCATTATATTGGTGATTGAGTCATCTAATGTACTTTCATAGAATAGATCCCAGTTGGTATCTTTTAACATGCATCTTAGATTGAGTAAGTTGTCAGATGTGTAGCTTCTTTGTTGTGCCTTCGTGGACAGGTGTGAGAAGATTTTAATATGTGTTTTGCTGTATATTTTTGGCAAAACGCGGACAATGCAGTGATCGGAGTTATGTATCGGTGAACGTCTACGTGTTTCATATACTCCTTCATCATTGGTAAAAACCAAGTCAAGGGTTTTGTCAAGTCGAGTGGGAAATTTGACTATATTTGTGTGACCAAGAGCTTCAAGAAAGGAGCAATCTGATGTGTTGAAGTCTCCAGTAATAACGGATAGAGAGTTGTCGAAGTTGGCAGCAGCAAACATGGTGAATTCATCAGCAAAATTAGATAGATCAGATGGAGACTCTTATGGTCACGATGTAATTCTTCTCTTAGACATAATCTATTCCTAAGTTCAATACTTTTGGGAAGTTATTTACCGCTACACCTCACTTCCCCCTAGTGGGGTTGTGAGGACCCTAAGACGGGACCAGCCAGAAGTAAAAAAGCCCTTGGAACCGACTCCCAGAAGAAGTCGTGTCTGCAACCTTAACTGATTCGTTCAAGAAGGGTTGGAACAACCACAGAAATTTACTAGAAAAGGATTAATATAGGCTCCAAGCCTTCTATCCTCAACCAATAAATCTGGATCTGAAATCTAAAGTGGTTGCATCTGAATGTATAACCATCAGTAGCTTGACAATACACTTTCAGAATCATAATCCCTCCACATATACATGTTTCATTCCCCCATATAAACCTAATTTTCACAGAGAAGTCGAAAACAAAATCCAGGATGCATTTCCAACGAACATCATGTCTAGCAACCATTTGTAATACTGAGCTATTTGATAGGTCAAGTCAAGGTCATTCGACTTTAGTATCTATTGTTTACTCGTGCCGGTTAACTCTCAAAGAAAAATCAGTTCTCTGCAGACATATACTACGAGGATTAACACGTGTACTGGCCACAAAAGCCCACTTACATCATTATTGGACTGTATTGGATATTGGAACATTTAGCGGCCGTGGTATCTGTTATGAACCAAAGTCATGAGAAGGTTTATGGACTTAGTTTCCCTACTCGGCAGCGGAAAAACGAACAGAAGCTATCAGTTAGTTCAGTTTTCAATCAGGAATCAGATGAAGAAGAGGAAAGAGAATTTGTAGGTTGGATTTTCCCCGTTGTCTAACTAGTTTAGAAACGAGCTGACTATTCCCGTTCAAATACAATTGCTCAGAGTAAAATCAATCGCAAGGTGAGATAATATATGCCCTGTTACCGGAGTTTTAGACAAAATCAGATCTAGAAAAAGCTTTTGAGGAGGACCCTTCAATTTTTCAATATGATGAGGTTATAGACGAAATTCATGATAAAAAGTCAAAGGATGTTTCAGAGACAACTGTCAGAAAGGTAAATATTGTATTTCTATATTTTGCAGTCTAAATATGTAGGCAAGCTGATAAAAGCTTCAAATGAACGCAAACTTGAAAGGGAGCTCTGTGCTGAACGGAAGGCTCAAAAGGATATTGAAAAAGAAGCTGACTTATATGGCGATAAGGAGTCTTTTGTTACTTCAGCGTACAGAGAAAAACTAACAGAGCTTCGTGCACTTGTAACAAAGCATGTAGAGGAGGAACAATTGGAAAGTGTTATGGATATTCGTAAACAAGATGGCCTAGGAGGGTTTTATCGTTATATGTATGATTCTCAAGGCAAAGGCAATGAATCGGACTCGGTAAGATCATTTTTATTTATGCTATTTTTTATGAGTTGTTTTGTGTTACTAGTGAAGTTCTTGTCTATTGGAGAAAGATTTAACACTTATTTTGACACAGCCTCGTTGATTCACAATCCTGCCATTCATGATCTTTTCGGGTAAACCATTGCACGTTGTCTGGTAAACCTTGAGTTCTGGTCAATTACGCACGGTCGCTTGCAATAAATAATTTGTCGGTGTACAGCCTCCTATCTATGCTAACATTCATTTTGCATAATTTGGGCACTGATAGTATATTATTGGATATATCACATTGAAATAGTATTATTCACTAGATGACGCAATCATATTTATCATTATACTTCATATTCATTCCGAAAAGTCACCCACTATATACTACTATTTCACTGTGTGACATCCAATAAACAAACTAGTGTGGGACTACTCACTTTGCAGTTTTTGTAATAATCATGTGGAGTGGCCAGTGGTTCTTGATATATGAGGTTGTTATACGAGTCACCAAAGCCATGTTATTTAGAATACCTTAGTGCCAATTATAGACTGTATACTGTGTATCACTAAAACTAAAATCACTTACTAATGTTTATTAGTTACATCCGGAAGCTTATATGACAGCTAAAGACTACCTGTCATAAACGAAATGAGTCTAAATTATGTGTCACGACGCTCTTAAATATTTAGAACAACACATTTAAGCGAACAATATTGTGGTTTCAATTAGATCTCATCAGGCTTAACTCTAAAATACATAAGTTTGCAAATAAAAATTCAAATATAAACCAATCATGGTGTTTTGTCTATAGGATAATAAGATGGTGAATATAAATTGTTCAGTTAGTCATGATAATAGTAATGCTGATAATAACGATTCTATCAATAACCAAGGTAAAAACATGATGCGATGAGTGTTAACAAAAATAACGGAAAACAGCATGGTTAAATAAACGAATATCCAGTTAGACGTAGTAGTCGATAAAGGCTAAGAAAAACAAATGAACCGATTAAGTAATGCTAGATTGTAAGGGAAGTAAATGAAACAAGTTTTTTAATGATGTGATAAGATTAAGGGATGATAAGAGAGGGGTTGAAAATATAAGTAAGGGATGGTGTAGAACTCATTAGTTGGTTATGTCTTAATAGGCCAAGAGGGAGGGATAATGGCTGTACGAACTTCTTTTGAATGCATAATTTAGGTTTAATAGTTCGAATGGCTATCGCCTCAGCTGTGTGCAGTAGACGAATACGAAGTCTATTAGAAAGATTCGGTGGGATACGATGAATTACTTTGAAAGCTCTCGTTTGAATTTTTATGTATAAACTTATGTATATTAGAGTTAAGCCTGATGAGATCTAATTGAAACCACAATATTGTTCGCTTAAATGTGTTGTTCTAAATTTTACTATGGGAATATTTAATATATTTATTGAAAGCTCTTAAATACGTATGCCATATGGTCTGTGGTACTACAGCACTTCGTATGCTATCCATGAATATGAAGGAAACTTTAGGGAGCGGAATTATATCATATCTTATAAGTTTATCTAATGAGTCTTTGATGGCAGTAACTGTAGATGTTTCTGGAGCTATTGGGAAATAGTACTTTCTGTGTATCATCGGACGGCGTTACTTCACTTTTAGGAAAACTGAAAGCGTATGAGGAATCCTGTATGATTATCCTACGCTTCTACTTTATCTTCTTTTCCTCCCTGACAATTGTAAAGTGCCCTCCAATTTTTAACTGGTTCCAGTAGTTCATACTTATCATACAGTTAAATGGATTTGGAAAACGTGAACTTCTGTTCTGTCAAATCTAGCAACGAATTTCATTAAGTTTTAAAAACACCTTGGATATGTTTATTTTTGAAATTTAAAAAGACGATTTAAGTTGGGTTCATAGGTTAAGGCTACACGAACAGGCATCATATGGTGCTTTTTGCTTACTGATCCACTCTGTTCTAAAACATTTGGTCATTGCCCCCTATTGCTGCAGGATTAGTGCCATCTTTACACCAACAATTTGGGGTCCTTTTTGTGCTGACACTTATAGGGAACTGTAAAACCTCACAGTAGTGTTCAGGTGAAGTCGGATAAGTGGTCATATTCTAATCCCTTGTGTGTTTTATATCTTGAGATGTCTGTCTTTTGAGGTCCACTACTCGTTTCGACGTAGAATTCTAGTGTCAGGAACTTCACAATGACGTTAGTAATGTGGTTTCCGGGGGATGAAATTAATGGTCCTGCGTCGGTGGCACAGTGGTTAGGACTCTCGCCGACCATGCACATGGTCCGAGGTTCGATCCCCTGTCGACTCACACCTGGTATCTATGGTCGGCCTGTAAAATTCGGGCTACTGATATCCATGCTGAAAATTCCATACTTGTACCAAAAATAGTGTGGAAGCAAGCTGTAATCAAAAAATAAAAATAAATAAAATTCAGAAGTTTTAAGTACTGTATTTCACTTATTATTGCCAATGAGAGGCAGTAGAGGGGTAACAATGACGTAGGTGAATGATAATCACAAAGATTTTTTGTAGTTTCTAAGATTTGGATGTTTCTTGATTCCTCACCTTGCGGTAGTTTATTTCTTATCGAAGAAAAAGGGAAAGCAAGGTAACCAAACGTTTTTGAAATCAATTGCACGCTTTCACCTCCAAATCTCCATTTTTAGTGTTAAACACCTAATCTACTCTTATGTCTGTCTGTCTATCTGTTTTCGACATAGAACTTTGCACTGATGTGCACCAGTTCAAGTCGCTACACTCCATTTAGCACACAAAGCAAGAGAAGAAATGCATTACAGAGACAGTAAACAGAGGTGTGAGACAAAGGAATAATAATAGCGAAGAATAATATAGTTCTATTGGGTATTATAAGTCACAGGGAGTGGATGCATCTTCGCCATTGGGAACGATTTTGAGCCATATCACCAATTGTTTCCAACCATTGGTTTTTACCTTCCCAAGGACGCCAACCAGGAAGTCTACACCTTCCTACGGGGCTGGGTGACTTTAACTGTTATGGATTTGACTGATTGATGTAGCCATGCTTTGGTTTGAGCATCACTAGCTTTTTTCCAACCTGACTTTATGTCAGTGGCGTACATTGCCCATCGAGGAAGCAATGGCTAAGGATGCATGCGTAACACATGTCCTAACCATCTCAGTCGATGTAACTTCACAGCCTCGTCGATTGATTTCCCTTCCTTATCTAGCACTCGACGCTTAACATCAATATTACTCACCCTACCATACCTACTCCTTCATACGAGAGACAACGCAGATACCTATGATCAAAGCCAGCTAGCGTTTTCATGTCCTCTACTCTCAATGACCAGGTGTCACAGCCATAGAGGAGGACGGATCGGACTTTTTTTGATGTGGTTTTGTTCTCCGAGCTGGATGGTTAGTTTGCGAAGCTTTCATCATCTTACTGGGTGACATCTTCAGCGCATACTTCAATTTGAGAACAAAACCACATCAAAATCATCCACCTGAGCTACAAATCTTCTCTATCATATCTAAATCTTACGGATCGGACTGCTAGCAGTACATACGCCCTTTGGTCGATAGCCTGATGTCACGTCTACGCCAGAGATGGCGTAAGCTGGAATATGCGAAACTAGCCCTCTGTATCTGTGCTGAGATTTCGTCAGAGATCAACCCTTTGGGGCCGATGGTACTTCCCGAATTAGTGAGGTGGTCAACCAGCTCTACCACTTCACTCCCTATTTCTAAGCTAGGAGTCAGTGTAGTCCTGTAATATCATCTTACATTTGGTGGGAACGAATCTCATGCCAAACATTCGTAGATTGCAGCTCAAGGTGTTCAGAAGACTCTGCATTTTGTCAGCGTCCTCGCCTAGAAGGACTATATCGTTTGCATATTCCAAGTCAGCGGAATTATTCCCTGGTAGCAAGTCAATCCCTAAGTCTCTGAAGTGAGTTAGGGTTAAATCCATTTGTACATCTATGATGAAATTGAATAGAAATGAGGATAATTGGCATCCCCGATGGACACCAGTAGTCGTCACCACTTCAAATGACAGCTCCCCGTAAGCCCTCACCTGGCTGCATGAGTTCGAGTAGATTGCCTTGATCAGTGCAATGTATTTTCTTGGCATTCCCTTTACAGCCAAGCATCACCAGAGTACCTCTTGGTCGACAGAATGGAATGCCGCCTTTAGGTCAAGAAATATAATCTTACTCTACTGTTATAACTACTTTAAGTCTTCAGAATATACAACCCTTTCTAGCATAGTAGGACATCGAAGTACAGTCATTGCACACCATTCACAGCATTCCAGGCTAACAGCTTCGTTCATTTCTCACGAGAACTAATCCGCATTGATTCCTGTTTATGAGAGAGGAGTTGGAATCGTCGGATGTGTCACTTGTTCTTTATTTTTATTTTGCAAGCTACCTCAGTCTTAGAGGACTGTTTGGCTGGTAGATGGTAGTGTAGATAATAGTTTCATTGACTGGCAGGATATCTGATTATCTATCAAAGGTTGAGAATAATCCTGGCATTCTACTTTGTGTAAGTCTCCTTCTGTGTTACGCGATGGTGACTGATGGTAAGGATGTGGAGGATTTTACAGTTCTCTCATCGTTATATTGAGTTTTGCTTTACTACTATGTGACTATATCACATAGTAAATGATACTTAGATGAATTACCCAGTGCTAAGTATGGAAGGCAAACAATGGACTATTTTTTTTGATTGGATAGTGTGATGTGTCTGGTCCAATCTTCGGTGCAAACTGAATTCCATCAGCCAGGCTTCCAATGTGGCCTCCATGCTAGGTGGCTCGCCATCATAGTGCACTGTGAATTGTTGGTATTAGATGGTTAGAGGCAGTCTGGAGGAAGGAGGTCAATCGCGAGTCTGAATAGCTCAGTGATGACTGCAGCACTGACACAGGTTCGAACCTCAGAAGGGACATGAGTTCCTCCGAAGTTGCAGATACGCCTTGCTGACTGGTGAGTGCCGACTAGCACGAAACCTAGGTCCAAAGCTTCCTACCGATTGCCTCCAACTATCTAATACCAACACAATAATGGACGAAGTTATTAATTTTCCCTACCTATGATAGCCTTGACTTATGTTATATGTTCCAAACAGTGATGCCTTTAGATGGACAGTTTGGGTGAAAGATGAAATACTTTAAACGAACGAAAGAGAAGGTCGGCACCATACCATCGAGTTACTTGTTGATACTTGTAGCCGTATAGAAAAGTCTTAGATACCTGACTGAGTTGTACAACTTACTGAACGTTATTAGCTGGAGATCGTTAGTGAAATGGTTCAAAATGGACCTCACTAATGCAGTCTTGCTTTGATATTGGATAAGTATATGATATAATACAGTGATACATTATTAGTAAATGAATGATGTTTCGAGCACAGTGTATTGCTTATAACCATATCAGTGTATTCAGACAACTTGATAACTTGCTTTACATAGCCCTACTCCCTGCTTTGTTTCACATTGAGATTTTCATATATGCGGTATAGGTGTTGCATCATTGCAACTGTGCGTATTTGGTGTTGATTTGATAAATAAGCATTCGGTGATTAACCGGTCTCTCTTTTCACCTAACCACATTACTTCTTAATGCTTTCACCTTGTTCCAATCTATGACGATTATCTGCAAACGAATGCATTATAGCATCTGAGCTTTTTTCAGATTATTTAATTTGATAGAATCAATCATTCTAGATCTGGCTAAATTTCCACATTCCTATGATCTAATTTGACCCCAATCTACTAGTTTGACCTATATAATTGACCTCCAAGTCATTACGTATCATTTAAATTATATTTTTTCAAATTGAATCTACCGGGTGTTTTTATGCTGACAAAGTTTGTGCTCTGCTGTTGGTTGGTTATCTTCATCACCTCCGACCTGTCATCGCTGCCAGCCAGCGTCTTCTGTCAGTTTGTTGGTTTTCCCCTGCCTTTAAGTCTTTGAGTGTGTGTGACATTAAACATAAATTATCCACACGCGAAATCTGGAACTTCATCTGATCGGTCGTTCAGCGTATTCCTGACTCCTCACTCTCCCCACCCTGACGCATAATCCAGTCCACCACAATTAAAAATATTATCGGTGATAATAGACAGGCAACCTTGTCTTATTTCTGTATTCACTTCGAACACCTCACTGAGTTTCCCGTTGTCGATCACCTGACACGTACCACTGTCATATATAGCTGTTGGATGAGGTTGGTAAAGACTTGGTTACTGAGCGCCGTAGTGTTGCAGCAATTTTCAAATTACTTCTCGGTCAACGCTGACGAAGGCCTTTCCGAAGTCGTTGAAGTTGAGGTAGAGTAAGGTTTGACTGTCATTCTATGCTTTGTTCGATGATCATGCATTGAGTTGCAATTTGATCACCATATGATTTGCCTTCCCTGAGTCTAGCTTGTTCCGCTGGGGTGGAATTCTACATCTAGTGAATGTTTTATTCTCTCCAGGATGACACGACTTAGTATTTTATTTGGTGTGGACAAGAGCACTATTCCACATCAATTCTTGCTCAGGCTTAAGTCACCCTTCTTTGATAGCTTCACAGGACAGCTTTTCTTCCAATCGGTAGTTACCTTTCCTTCCTTCTAAACCTTTTGTAATAATAATGGCGTGAGTGCATCTGCCACAGTCTCTATCATGTAATATACCATAGTTAAATGACATTAAACGCACCTAAATGACACTTTTTTGATTAATTCAGAATAATTAATTTTCAACTTTTGCATTGTTGTAGGCTACAGAAAGCTCTAATAAACAACAGTCAACTTCACAGAAACAAAAGCCATCAGAAACAGATCGTAAATCTTCACATGTGGATAAGCGTTCAACGAAGAAGTTTTCAGAAGAGAACGCTGATAATCATGAAACTAATGCAGACACCCAACGGAATATGAGTGACAATAGTAACAGCAGTAGTCGTAGCAGTGGTAAAAACAGAGATTCGTCACCTTCAGTGAAAAAAACTGCATCAGATCGTGAAAGACCGACCTCCAGTGCATCAACAGCGGATGATTCTACTCAGTCGAAGAATGTTGAGTCAAAGTAAGAGGTTTATGTATCCTGTCATTTTCATTCATACCGTTAGAGAATTCTTTAAGTTACAGGATTTCATAATGAGCTGACTTCGGTGAGAGAACTACGGGAAAGCCTGGGAGTACTGGACAGTTGTTTCATCCAAAGTGGGACGGGTGAAGATAAATTCTCTCCAGCGATGACATTGGATGGTAGTTGGACTTCATGCACTGGCCATCAGTTCGGTTCCCAGTGGCTGAGTGGTCCATGAACTCACCTTGTAACAGAAAGGTCTCGTGTTCATACCCCTGTAAGTGGTTGGGTGCTGCTGAAGAGCCCCAAACCAGGCTGACGAAATAGCTGTTTAGTACTCTGCTGTTGGTTTTCCAATAGTTATCTAAATGATGCCAGCTCATGACGAAATCCTGTAACCAATCAAATCACTGCAAAACAACACTCGAAATTCTATAAATGTTAAAAACTGATAAGTAAAGAGTTGTTTAAAAAAGTGGATAGCTGACTTTGCAATTCACTATCTGAATATGTTGACTCTTGGCTAAAAACATACGTTACTTGAGACATTATTGTTGTTGGAAAGCATTGCTACTAGCGCGCGTTAAGTTTGACTGATAGTTTGTTGCTTCATTTCATTTATTGTGTGAGGGCTAAGATACTGCGCGGGCGCCCATACTGAAGCAGGTAGTTTTCTTAAGGGACCCCCCTCAAGCCTTCGACTTGGAGTCTAATCCTCAAGGCAGCGAAGCAGCGTCAGGAGCTGCATTCCCATGGTTGCCGGTGACCCATATGGGTTCATACGCCATTTGATCCCATTGGATTCTGGAGCTCATGGTAATCCCATGGTAACCGCTTTTATTCTAACCGCTATCCAAACAACCTTCCTGACATGGTAGGACCTGCAGGAAGATGAGCCCCAACCAGTTTAGCTTGTTGGGTCACTGCGGTATTCAAACCTGACCACCATGGCAAGATAGCAGTTGTCGGCTGGAATGTCATCCGGAACGCCCTGGGACGGGATGGAAAAGGCGGAGGGGTGGTCAGTCCATGAGATGGCATCATGGGATGAAGGATATTTGTGTTAGATTAGCATCGGTTCGTGCGTCACGACTCCCTGGTTGGGTTCCGCGAGATAGCTCGAATCGATGGCTCGAAACGTTATCAGATTATGGCCAAGATTGGTAATCAATGGCGAACGTGTTGCAATTTCCTTCTTTCTTCACTTCCCGATGATAGTTGACGAATACTGTTTGAACTTGTTAAGTATGACTGTTTTCCTTCGAGATGAAGTTCTTTATCCGTTCTCTACTTATACATTTTTTTAACTTTTAATCTATGTTGTTTTATTATTATTGTGTGACGCATCTTTCTTGGTGCTATACTGTACCAGGTTTTTTCTGCGTTTAAATAAGTAAATAAGAAAAATAAATGGCTGGAAACAGGGAGCATACTAATTCCTAATCAATACTTAAACTTATGTGTATGCTGAAGTACAGGTAGACCGTGTTCCTTTAACTGAACTTTTCAAGTCCTAGACAACTCAAAGGCTGTAGAAAGTTTCAGTTGTGTGTGAATTAGAAAACTATACTTCCAGGGTGTAGTCATTCTTCACAGGTCTTATTCTGTCTATGAACTCATAAAATAATAGTACCAGTTAATAGTTATACTACGTTGAATAGTATTTGTTATCTTTGCACCAACTTGTACAAAGTAGTTAGGTCTTTTCTCATATCAGACAGGTTGTTTTTTATATGATTGGTGAATGTTTCGAGCAGTTATTGTTTTCTTATAATCATATCAGTGTATTCACATAGCTTGTATTCACTTGCCTTATATAACCTAGACTTATTGTTGTTATCATTCCTTCAGTCTGTAAGTGAGACATATGGCTTCAACAGCACATCTCCATTTTACGCTGTTGTCTGAATTCCTCTGTAGCGGTCTTCTGACTAACTGACTGGTTTTATCATAGAACTAATTTGCACCGATGTGCAGTAGTTCGAGTCGCTACACTCCATGTAACACACAAAGCAAGAGAAAGTAAAAAGGAATGCAATATAATGACAGTAAACAGAGATATGAGGCAAAAAGAATAGTAATAACGAAGAACAATATAGTTTTATCGGATATTATGAGTCGCAAGGATTGGATGCATCTGCGACAACCATTGAGAACGAGGATTTTGAGCCAGCCATATCACTGATTGTCTCACGCCTTCATTGGTATTTACCGTCCCGAAGGCCCAAACCAGTCAGGAAGTCTACACCTTTCCACGTCACTGGCTTAAACTAACTGACTGATGAAGCCATGTTTTGGTTTGATCACCGCTGGCTCTTCTCCAAGCTGATCCTATGTCAGTCAACTAACATTGCGCGTCGATGAAAGCGAGTGATGGCTAGAGATACATGTGTAACACATGTCCTAATCATCTCAGTCGATGAAGCTTCACAGCCTCGTCTATTGATTTCCCCTCCTTACCTACTTGATCGATGTCTAACCTCAGTATTGCTCACCCTGCTATATGACTGAACGCGGGAGATAGAACGCAGGCACCTGTCATCAAACACAGCTAGCCAGCCTTTTGATTTCTTCCACTCTCAATGGCCAGTTCTCACAGCCATAGAGGAGGATTAAGTGGACTCCTGAGCAGCTGTCTTCACTATTGACTGTAGACCCTCATATCCTCTTCACACGATCTTCTCCATGTCGTTGACGGATTTACACTCAGTTTGTCGTTTCCCAATTGGGTTCCACTCGAAGTTATGCTTGATGTGTGTTGTCATTTTAGCAGTCTCCTCAGTGTATGCCTAATCCATCTCCATTTCCTTCGTGACATCTCTTGATTGGTTCATTCTTGCTACTTCTTTCTGGTCATTTGATCTTCAGTATGGAGCGAACTGGCAAATGTGGCAGCTGTTAATAAAAGTCTTCAGGAGCCTATTGGAAATACTTTTCGTGACGCGCATGTCAGATTTCTAATCCATATAAAAGAACTGACTGACTGACTGACTGACCTAACATTAGCTGTTGAAAATCCGAATTTGGTTCTTTGTACTGATTGCAGAAGATTTCCAAACCGATTTCAGAGTGATGACAGTCTGTCTTGACTTTGCATTTCTGGTTTTGACATGCTTTGTGCAATCTGTTACTTGCAGTTGAAACAATGGCGCATATATAAGTAAGAGAGGTGACGTCCTTTAGGTTACTTTCGTTGGTAGTGATAGGTGCCTGTTGTTGTTAGTTGGTTGACTTAATAATATTACTACTCATAATAATAATCTGCTTTATTCCAAACACAGTACTTATATTACAGCATGGAATTCTCAGTATTTGTCACAATATGGCATTTAACATATTCAAAATACAGATAAAATTAACCATGGGAATTTGTCCACATTTACGGTAGGAATGAAGTCAAAAATGTGCGAAGTATAAAATGAGAATAATAACTATAATAATAATAACACTGGGTTTAGATATGATGGAGAAGATTTGAAGCTCAGGTGGATGATTTTGATGTGGTTGTGCTCTCTGAGCTGGATAGTTAAGTTGCAAAGCTTTCATTACCCTATGAGGCAACATCTTCAGCGCATACTACTTCAATTTGTTGAAGTGAGCCTCTAGATTTCTCCACGATTTTATTAGTCATCTCTCTCCTGATTGGTGACTTTGAACGTGACTGGTTGTTTTTGTGTGTTTTCACACCCTCCAGGCTGCTTGTATTGGAACTGATTGTCTCCTTGACTTGAACTTTGACCCTTTGTGTGTGAGATTTCCTCCTTATCTTCCTATGGGAATTGACGTCACACACAAACCAACAAAATCACTTCACTCAGCCAGCTCTCTGTCAACCAAAAGAGTCAACAACGAAAGAAGATAAAATCAACATCAGTATCTACAAAATAAATTGTAACAACTGCGAAAAACACTACATTGGCCAAACTGGACGGACGTCCCCTTCGTCTTCATGTCCATAAGCTAGCCGTCAAAAGACATGACATCCACCCCCCCCCACTCATATCGCCTCACTGCATACAGACAGACAACTATAGACATCAGTTCGACTGGGACAACCAGCGTTCAAATATTAGACAAAGAAAACACCAACAATGCTAGAGAATTTTTAGAAGCCAGCCCGGTATTCCAGTGAATCATAAATCAATAGTTGACACATTGTGATAGACAAAATTTACCAATCGATAAAGAAGGAAACCTCACACACAAAGGATCAAAGTTCAAGTCAAGGAAACAGTCGGTACCAATACAAGTAGCTGCCTAGAGAGTGTGAAAATACACAAAAACAACCAGTCACGTTCAAAGTCACCAATCAGGAGAGAGATGACTAATAGCGAACTCGTGGAGAAATCTAAAGGCTCACTTCAACAAATTGAAGTAGTATGCGCTGAAGATGTTGCCTCTTAGGGGAATGAAAGCTTTACAAACAAACTATCCAGCTCAGAGAACATAACCACATCAATTACAGTGGGTTTATTTCAAATAGTATTGTGGACACAGTTTGGAAATTTCAGCATGTCATTAGAGTATTGAATCTAATGTTCTCTTGATACAGCATGGTGAGGGGAAAAGATAAAAAATAACAATTATTACAGAGCGTAAATAATGTTTGCTTTTATGAGAAACTAAACAAAAAATAGCAAAAATGAGAGGATTATAAATATAAAAAGCAATAACAATAAAGCTTGGCGTGGAATGAGAATGAAGAAAATGGTTAGTTAGTTCATCCCTGACACTACTGTCATCACATAAAATACGTGCCAAATATGACATGGTATCTTCATCACCTTCGTCTAATCTATGTTCGCTTGAAGTCCTGTCTCCGTTGGCTACCTCTCCCGCCAACTTGTTATTTTTCGTCTGTAGATCTTCTAGTTTGTGTGTGTGTGTGTGTGTGTGTGTGACGTTAAATATTGATTATCCGTGGAATCTAGATCTCTTGAAGTCTCTTTGTCGATTCGACATCTACCCGTCTTCTTGCTCCCCATGGTTGTCTTTTTTCATTGAATTATCAAATATGCCATGATCAGGAATATCATCGGTGACGGTAGACAGACACAGTTTCGCCTTACTTCCGTTGGGGCTGATGCAATGGATTGATCGCTGACAAAATCTCTGCATGGATACAGAAGGCTCGTTTGGCATATGCCGGTTTACGCCGTCTCTGGCGTAGACGTGATATCCGGCTGACTGGTTATCAGCCAAAGGGTGTGTGTGTACTGCTCATCAGCCCGCTTCGTCCCCCTTAATGACTGTGAGACCTGACCATTGAGAGTGGAAGACACGAAAAGGCCAGCTAGCTGTCTTTGATCATAGGTGCCTGAGTTCTATTTCCCGTGTAAAGTGGCATAATAAGGTGAGCAACATGGAGGTTAGGCGTAGAGTTCTAGGTAAACAGGGGAAATCAATCGACGAAGTCGTGAAGTTTCAAAGACTGAGATGGTTAGGACATGTGTTACGTATGCCAAGCCATCGCCTCCCTCGACGAGCAATGTTAGCGGATATAGGGTCAGGCTGGAAAAAAGCTAGCGGCGGTCAAACAAAAACTTGGCATCAGTCAATGAAATCCACAACAGTTGGTCTAAGCCACGTAGAAAGGTGTAGACTTCATAGCTGGTTGGAGTCCTCGGGACGGTAAAAATCTATGGTTGGAAACAATTGGTGACATGGCTCAAAACCGTTCTCAGTGGCGCAGATGCATCCACTCCCTGTGACTTATGATCTTCAATGAAACTGTTTTGTTCTTCCTTATTATTCCTCCTTTGTCTCACACCTCTGTTTACTGTTTCTATTATGCTTTTCTTGTACTTTCTTCTCTTGCTTCGCGTGCTACACGGAATGTGGCGACTTGAACTGGCGCACATTTGTGCAAAGTTCTATGTCGAAAACAGACAGACAGACAGATCTCGTGGGTGAAGTGGTATAATAGGATGAGCAATATTGAAGTTAGGCGTCGGTTGAGTGCTAGGTAAGGAGGAAGGGGAAATCAATTGACGAGGCTGTGAAGCTACATCGGCTGACATGGGTAGGACATGTGTTACGTATGCCTAGCCATCCGTCGCCTTCCTCGACGCGCAATGTTAGCTGACATAGGATGGATCAGGTTGGAAAAGAGCCAGTGGTAGTCTAATCAAAACATGATTTCACCAATCAATGAAATCCACAACAGTTAGTTCAATCCAGCATCGTAGGAAGGTGTAGACTGGCTTCCTGGTTGGGGTCCTCAGGACAGTAGAAACCATCGGGTGGAGATAATTGGTGATATGGCTAGTACAGATGCATCCATTCCTTGTGACTATTGATATCCAATGAAACAATATTGTTCTTCGTTATTACTATTCCTTTAGTCTCATATCCCTGCTTGCTGTATCTATTTTGCATTTCTTTTTGCTTTCTTCTCTTGCTTTGTGCGCTGCATGGAGTGTGGCGACTTGAATTGCTGCACATCAGTGCAAAGTTCTATGTCGAAAACAGACAGACAGGAAGAAGCATAGTTAATCTAATAAATACTACTTTCTAACCACCCTTTGTTTTATATATATATATATATATTTTTTTTTTTTGTAGATCTGATCCCCCATCAAAACCTAACGTGAAACCAGGCGGTAATAGTGCTTATGCAAGTAAAAAGGGTACAGCGCATGTTATGATGGCTCGTCCACGTGTAACTACAGAGGAAGAATTGGCTGCTGCTCGAGAACGTTATTTAGCAAGAAAAGCTGCTGGAATACATGCAGAGATTGTCGAATCAGATTAAGGGTGTAGTATATAGTCTGTATATGTATGTATGTATATTTGTATTTTTCTAAACTTTTACTCAGAGATATTCATCAAATATCGAATGGAATAAAAGTTATTCCTTCATTTTGTAAATGTATTAACTTCATTCTGTTTAAAAATTGTTGTAAATATCTTTTGAATGAAAAGAAAAAACATTCACTATTTTTCCCTTCATTTTCTCTTCATCATGTGATTTGTGTAGATTCAAATGACTGTAGCACATCAGTTCACTCACTCTGTGCTTCTTTATTTCTGTCACAGGTTTGTGTTGACAGTGACCGAAGAGGTTGGCTGTCTTTGACGATAGATATTTGTGTTCTATTTCTCATATATTAAATGTTATCATATGGTGAGCAATATTCAAGTTTGGCGTGTAGAGAGAGTGTCGAGTAAAAAAGAAATGTTATTCAATTGAGATGGCTAGGACAACATGGTGTGCGGAAGCTAAGCGTCAGTGTGTGTGTATTACATACCCCGGCAGTTTGCTTCGTCTTCTATAATGCCTGTGAGACATGGTCATTGAAAGTGGACGAGATGTTCGACTATCGACCAAAGGGCGGGTGTACCGCTCATCAGTCCGCTCCGTCCTCCTGTATGGTTGTGAGACCTGGCCACTGAGAGTGGAAGACATGAAAAGACTAGCTGTCTTTGATCATAGGTGCCTGCGCTCTATTTCCCGTGTAAAGTGGTATAATAAGGTGAGCAACATTGAAGTTAGGCATCGAGTGCTAGGTAAACAGGGGAAATCAATCGACGAGGCTGTGAAATTACATCGACTGAGATGGTTAGGACATGTGTTACGTATGCACGCCTAGTCATCGCCTCCCTCGACGAGCAATGTTAGCGGATATAGGGTCAGGCTGGAAAAAAGCTAGCGGCGGTCAAACAAAAGCTTGGCCTCAGTCAATGAAATCCACAACAGTTGGTCTAAGCCACGTAGGAAGGTGTAGACTTCCAGGCTGGGGTCCTCGGGACGGTAAAAATCTATGGTTGGAAACAATTGGTGACATGGCTCAAAACCGTTCTCAGTGGCGCAGATGCATCCACTCCCTGTGACTTATGATCTTCAATGAAACTGTTTTGTATTTCTTTATTACTCCTTTGTCTCACACCTCTGCTCACTGTTTCTATTATGCTTTTCTTGTACTTTCTTCTCTTGCTTCGCGTGCTGCACGGAATGTGGCGACTTGAACTTCCGCACATTTGTGCAAAGTTCTATGTCGAAAACAGACAGACAGACATTGAAAGTGGAAGACATGCAAAGGGCTTTCTGTGATCATAGGTTTCTGCTTTCTATCTTCGGTGATATGTATAATATAATAGGGTAAATAATATTGAGTTTAAGCATGGATCAAGTGTTAGGTAAGGAGGGGAAATCAATCGATGAGGTTCTAAAGTTATGTCGATTGAGATGGTCATGACATGTGTTACGCATGCTAGCGTAGCCATGGACTTCCTCGACGGGCAATGTTGGCCACTGACATAGGATGGATCGGGCTGAAAAAGAGCTAGTGGCGGTCAGACCAAAACATGGCTTCATCAGTCAATGAAAACCACAACAGTTGGTTTAAGCCATCTGTCATATGCAGAGGTGTAGACTAACTGGCTGGTTGTTTGGTTGGGTTCTTTGGGCTAATTAAAATCAATGAAGGCTGGAGACAATGGATCAAAATAGTTCTCGGTGATGGCTGGCGCAGATTCACTTACTCTTTGTCATTTGTCATATCCAGTAAGACTCTATTGTTCTTCCATATGACTATTACCTCTTTTGAAACTCTCTTCTCTTGCTTATTGTGCTGCATGGAGGGAGAATGGCAACTGGAACTTCTGCACATCAGTGCAGATTTCTCTGTTGAAACCAGTCAGTCAGTTAGCTAACATGGGATTAAGGATGGAAAAAAAGAGTTCGACTTGGTCAAACTAAAACTTCCCATTAATCTATGAAGTTTTTTACCGGTGACTTGAGCTAGTCACCTAGGGAGGTGTAGACAGTCTGGTTGGATTCCTCAGAATTACAAGAAACAATGATTTGAGACTTTTCGTGATTTGTGTTGAAATTGTCCTCCGTAGCACACCAGGTCCATTCACTTTTTTTTTAATTACTCATTTTCTTTGAATCCTAGTGTGTTTTCGTGTCAGAATTCTTTCTGCTGTACATTTCTGTTTGTCAGGGTTCTTTTGGATTTCTTTCTTCTCTATACCTTTGTGTGTGGAATATAGCAACTTGAAGTGCTACATTTTTATGCAAAGTTCTATGTTGAATCTCAGCGAATTCAACGAAGTGATGCTTTAAATAATGTAGGCGTTTGAGGGTAGCAGGCGTGGGGAAGAAGGAGAGAAGCGAGGCTGTTTTGAGATTTAAGCTGTAGCGAAAAACTTTGATCCTTCTAACTCTTATGTAAGAGTAAATATTTCCAGACTTAGTGATGTATTATTTGTTATTATCAAAATTTCATTCCTTTGCGTTTTGAGTGGAACATAGGGATTCAGGCAATTAAATTTTGAAGTTTCGGTGGTGGTGGTGGTGGTGTTTCTACAAGACGCTCTCTCTTTCACGGACCTAATACCGGTTAGGTGAGGCTTAGGAGTGCGTCAGTCGGGAGTCGAACTTACACTGTGTGTGGGTGGTGGGTATTCTACGTTTGAGTCAAGGACATACATGATGCACGTAGGACAAATGAAACATAAAAGGTAGTAAGTAGGTAGATCAATAAGTCGTTCAGACCGTAATGGAATTTTTAAGTAATTACTTCAGTTCAACTCGTATCCACTCCAGTGAAAGTGACTGTCAGTTAAGTTTTGGTGACACATTCTCACCGACTATAAACAAATAATTGTGATAATCAAAGAAAAGTTTTGTCTTCGAACAAATGGCAGTCAGTTAAAAGTAAAATTTGTGACTTCAAAAGGGCTATAAGCTGAAAACACCAAACAGAGAGATGAGAAACATACCCAAAGAGCAAAATATTGTACCTTACTGAACTCCAGATACATTTGATTGACGAGTTCCACTGAGGACTACAAGTTTCCACCACTTACTATTGTTGAAAAAAAAAAAATAATAATTGGAATTGTTGATCCCTTACAGTTCCAAAAACCAGAAATCTCGACTTATTCATTCTCAAAACTCTAATTTCATACTCAAATACTGCCAAATTTTTTCTTTACTTCTGTGGTTCACAATATCAGAAGTAATCAATCCTGTTTCAATGTAAAGTAACCATGCGTAGTTGTCGGACTGAAGTTTCGCTAAGAGACTTGTTTACAGGGTGGAGTTGTTAGCCTCACGCCTGAGTGTTATCCACTAGATCACTTGGGCCTACTATCTCCAATGATTTTCCTGATTGTGGTGGACTGGATAATACGACAGACAGCGGGCAGTGTGGGAACAAGCATAAAATGGACACACATGGATCTGAACTTCACCGATCACACATATCTGATTTCCCACAAACTGGAAGATATGCAAGTGAAAAGCAACAAGTTGGCAGAAGAAGTATCCAGAGAAGATAGACCTTCAGGTGAACGTAAAGAGAACAGAGGTGATGAAGATTCCTAACCAAGAGCAATAACAACAACCAGCACAAATGGGCGAAATCTGAAAGAAGTAAGCTTCTCTGCCTACTACCTGGGAAGCATCGTTTCAACTACATAAAAATAGGTGACTTTTGCACAAAAAATAACATTTATTTACAAGGAAATGCATGAAAATACATTAAACAGGGTATTTTTCTTTGATATGGCTCAAAAATGCGTTCCAGTGATAATGAGGAGGATAGGGTTTTAAGTTAAACCAGTTTCTGCACGTGTATTCACCGAGGTGACATATGGTGAGCTTTTCTAGTGACCCGTTTCTCGCTAGTATCAAGTTTTCCAGTCTTCCCAAAAGCCCTCGATCTAATTACTGTGGTTTTCAGCAAGGGGATCGACAACTACTTATTAGGCAAATGTGGATAGTAAAACAAATTAAAATGGATAATACCAACTCTAAATCTATCCCTAAACTTAATCCTAACTCTAATTATAACGCTTATCCTAATTACGACATTGTCTCTAACCCTAATGGTAAGCAGAAAAGTTGAAACCTGTTAAACAACGGGTATCTTAATATTATCTGAAGGAATCGTTAGAAGTCACTGATGAAAAAGTGTGTGATAAAAGTGTATTGTCCACTTCAATGTCAACTTCCTGTTCTGATAATTACTAGTCACATTATATGAGCAATTGGTGATACAATCAAACAATATGTGGACGACATCTTTATCATCTGTGATGACGGTCACGATCTCAATCAATTACTGCAAATATTCAACAAATCCCATCCAGCCACAAAGTTCACTCTAGAAATTGAAAATGAATTCAAAATCCCTTTTCTTGACGCTGAGTTTACAAGGAGAGCTGAGGGAACTTTAAGAATGTCCATCCATAGGAAACCCACATGGAACGGCCAATTGACAAGCTTGTACAGCTGGCTACCAATCAGTTTGAAAAGAAACCTAATTAAATCCCTTGCCACTAGCGTCAGACGCATCTGCAGTTCTGACACCATGGGAGAAGAACTAAACTTCCTGAGAGAAATCTTCCTACAAAATGGCTACCCATCAAGATTCGTAGACAAAAAATCCAAAAGCGAGAGACACCGTCGGTGCCTAAAAAGATACTTTATATGAACCTGGACTTCATAGGCGACCTTCTTAGTGACGTCCTCAGAAGGAGAATTTCCACCTCTTTAGGAAGAATTCTCCCTGCGGCAACATTAGGAGTAGTGTTCTCCAGCCGCCCGCTGATCTGCAGAAGCCCAAAGGAGAAGATCCCACACATGACCACTTCTCTGTGTATATATCAGTTCACCTGTTGCTGTGGAGCCAGGTACGTCTGTCGTTCAACGCGCATCCTGTCAAAAAGGGTCAAAGAACACTATCCAGCGTGGCTACAGAAAGGAAATAATGGCCATATAAGGAGTGCAATAATCGAACATCTCGTCAACACTGGTCATTCCATCTCAACAAACGCCTCCTTCAAAGTAATCTACAAAGTGAAGAACAACCTTCCAAAGACAGTACGATTCCGTCTTCTTTGCATCGCAGAATCCCTAGCCATTCAGTTGGTGGAACCAGAATTATGCATACAAAAAGAAAATTATCCAACCACTTCTACTCTCATGGTAACAACTCCGTTGATATAACCTAACTTTTGTTTGTTTGTTTGACTTGACCTTACTTTTGTTTGTATGTTTATTTTTTCTAACTTAAAACCCTTGTGTAATTCTGTATATTATTTTGTTTCCATGTACACCCTGAGCACAACTCATTCATCAAACTATTCATGCCATCACGTCGGTGGCACAGTGGTTA